GAGGGGCCGGGCGGGGAGCCACCGCGCCCTGCGGGTGCTGGTGGACATGGACGGCGTGCTGGCCGACTTCGAGGGCGGTTTCCTCAAGAAGTTCCGCGCGCGCTTCCCGGACTTGCCCTTCGTCGCGCTGGAGGACCGGCGTGGTTTCTGGGTGACCGAGCAGTACGACCGCCTGCGGCCCGGGCTGAGCGTAAGCGACCCCTGCTCCGGCCCCCCTTCCTGCCCCCCTTCCAGCCCCCCGCCGGCCCAGACCCGGGCTCGGGGGCGCTTTTTGCGCGGGCTTTTGGAGACAAGCAACCTGTATGACCTTGGGCGGGTCACAAGCCCTAGCCTTGGGGTGGTCTTCTGGCAAAATAGGAGGGACCTGGGGAGGGCCAGGGGTCACAGCTCTCAGTTTCCCCAGCCATCACAGCCGGCTTCTAGCAATCTAACTATCTTCTCACTTTTATTTTTATTTATTTATTTTTTTTGTCGGTCGTGGGGCTTGAACTCTGGGCCTGGGCGCTGTCCCTCAGCTCTTCAGCTCAAGGTGAGTGCTCTACCACTTGAGCCACAGCGCCACTTCCGGTTTTCTAGTGGTTTATTGGAGATAGGAGTCTCACGGTCTCTCCTGCCCGGGCTGGCTTTGAACCGCGATTCTCAGATCTCAGCCTCCTGAGTAGCTAGGATTACAGGCGTGAGCCACCGGCGCCCGGCTTTTCTCACTTTTAAATTCTTGCTATATTTGGCTGTAAGTCGTTTGTTTCATTTGTTACGCGCCTTGGTTTCTTTCTGCTCCTCACTGGTATCATCAAACCGAGATCCTCTGGATCTCAGCCTCTCTTTTGTTGTTGTTGTTGGTCGTGGGGCCTGAACTCTGGGCCTGGGCACTGTCCCTCAGTTCTTCAGCTCAAGCTCTACTACCACTTGAGCCACAGCGCCACTTCTGGCTTTCTCTGCATATGTGGTGCTGAGGAATCGAACCCAGGGCCTCATGCATGGAAGGCAAGCACTCTAACACAGACCCACCTTCCCAGCCCCTGAATCTCAGGCTCTTTTTTTTGGGGGGGGGTCCAGTCCTGGGGCTTGAACTCTGGGCCTGGGCGCTGTCCTTCAGCTCTTCAGCTCACGGCTAGCACTCTACCACTTGAGCCACAGCGCCACTTCGGCTTTTTTCTTTTTCTTTTTTTTTGGTCCAGTTGTGGGGCCTGAACTCTGGGCCTGAGCACTGTCCCTCAGCTCTTCAGCTCAAGGCTAGTGCCCTACCACTTGAGCCACAGTGCCACTTCCAGCCTTTTTCTTTTTGCTTATGTGGTGCTGAGGAACCGAACCCAGGGCCTCAGGCATGCAAGGCAAGCGCTCTACCACTGAGCCACCTTCCTAGCCCCTCTCAGGCTCTTGAGTAGCTAGGATTATAGCCACCAGCACCCACCATGTTACCTTTTTTTTTTGTCGTGGTTGGGCTTGAACTCAGGGTCTAGGTGCCACCCCTGAACTTTTTTGCTCAAGGCCAGTGCTCTACCACTTTGAGCCACACCCTCCACTTCTGGTTTTTGAGTGGTTAATTGGAGATATGAGTTTCACAGACTTTCCTAGATCTCAGTCTCCTGTATAGCTAGGATTACAGGTGAGCCCAGCACCTGCCCCCCCTTTAATTTAAATAAGTTAAATGATATAAATTAAGTCCTCTTTTATCCCTAAGGCAGTCACACTGGCAATTAATTCCGCACTACTGATTGGATCAATGCCTTTACCCTCTTCCCTTCTTTATTGCTTTACAGTGATAATGGTGGCTTAAAGATGATAATGCCGATTAGGATACCACATAGGAATCAATAGTGATCACAGTAGGTGCCATTGGAAACCACCCCCTCCCCCCAATGCCCTGCCTCCTAAGTCTAGCAGAGATAGCTAAAAATCCCAGGTAGGGATGTTTAAAATCAGAAACCTTGGTTTGTAAATTTCAACTGTTTTGTGACAGGAGCAGGGGAGTTTATCAGGCATCTCTTGATTGGCCACATATGGCCACTACCAGAAGGTTTTATGCTGAGAAGGGTATGATTATCAGAACCGGTTGTGTAGTCCCAAGTTCACTGCTTTATTTCATGTAGGTAGACATTGCTTATCTCCATTTTTGCTGAGGAGGAACTTTGCCCTAAGTCATGAGATAGTAAGGGGCCAAGGAAGACTGGAGACTTCAGTTTATCTGACACACACACACACACTTTTAGCTTTCACACACAGACACACACACACACACACACACACACACTTTTAGCTTTCCAGACTCCAAGGTCTTGTTCTTTCTCTTGCTGTCTATTTTTTTTTTCAGTCAATACACACACACACACACACACACACACACACACTTTTAGCTTTCCAGACTCCAAGGTCTTGTTCTTTCTCTTGCTGTCTATTTTTTTTTTTTTCAGTCCTGGGGCTTGAACTCTGGGCTTGGGCGCTGTCCCTCAGCTCTTTTATTCAAGGTGAGCTCTCTACCGCTTGAGCTATAGCACCACTTCCGGTTTTTTGGTGGTTTATTGGAGATGAGTCTCATGGAGGGGCTGGGAAGGTGGCTCAGTGGTAGAGCGCTTGCCTTGCATGCATGAGGCCCTGGATTCGATTCCTCAGCACCACATAAGCAAAAAAAGAAAAAAAGCCAGAAGTGGCACTGTGGCTCAAGTGGTAGAGCGCTAGCCTTGAGCTGAAGAGCTGAGGGATGGTGCCCAGGCCCAGAGTTCAGGCCCCATGACTGGACCCTAAAACAAAACAAAACAAAGAGTCTCATGGACTTTTCCGGCTCTGAACCAGATCTCTAGGATTATAGGCGTGAACCACCAACACCCGGCTTTTGCTGTCTTTATGAATGCCATTTCTTTTGACTTCAAAAAGCCACCTCCACAATAACTTGATTTGCTGAGGGGCAGAAAGCACCTGTTGTGGTGAGCTGGCCTCTCCTGGTGCTGAGACCTAATTAAAACTGATTCTGAAGTCAGGAGACAGTGGCTTATGCCTGTAACCCTAGCTACTCAGGAGGCTGAGATCTGAGGATTGTCATTCAAAGCCAGCCTGGGCAGGAAAGTCCCCATGAGACTCTTCTCTCTAATTAACCAAACCGGAAGTAGAGCTGTGGCTCAAACTGTAGAACACTAGCTTTGAGCAAAAGAGCTCAAGGACAGCACCCAGGCCCTGAGTTTAAGCCTCATGAGGACACCTTTTTTGTTGTTGTTATTCTGGAAGCTGATATTAGGAGGACTGTGATTTGAGGCCAGGCAAAATGTTCTGGAGACTCTGTCTCAACAGAAAAAGCTGGACATGGGGCTGGGAAGGTAGCTCAGTGGTAGAGTGCTTGCCTTACATGCAGCATGAGGCCCTGGGTTCGGTTCCTCACCACCACATAAGAAGAAAAAGCCGGGAGTGGCACTGTGGCTCAAGTGGTAGAATGCCAGCTTTGAGCTGAAGAGCTGAGGGACAGCGCCTACACCCAGAGTTCAGGCCTCACAACTGACAAAAAGAAAAAGAAAAGAAAAAGCTGGACATATTGGCAAGTCTGTCATCTCAGCTATAGCTAGAAGAATAGAGGATCAAGGTCCAGGACAGCCTAGAGCGCCTATGTCAAAACTTACAAAAGCAAAAGAGCTGGAGGTGTGGCTCATGATAGAGAACCTGCCTAGTGAGCTCAAGGCCCTGAGTTAATGTTCCAGTACCACCAAAATCAAACAAAAAAGGAAGAAAAATACCAACATAAACTGGGAAGATTATCTGCCTTTTTTTTTTTTTTTTGCCAGTCCTGTGGCTTGAACTCAGGGTCTGAATGCTGTCTTCAAGCTTCTTTTGCTCAAGGTTAGAGCTCTACCACTTGATCCATAGCACCACTTCCAACTTTTTCTGTTTATGTGGTACCGAGGAATTGAACCCTGGGCTTCATGCATGTTAAACAAGCACTCTGCATCTAAGCTATATTCCCAGCCCATATCTGTGTCATTTCTTCAGCTTCAGTAATAGACTACAGCCCTGTGTTAGTGTTCATTTGCAGCTAGGTGACCAGCACTGGAATCTGGGGGACCTTACTTCCTCTGAAGAGTGTGTTGATAGGGTGAAACTGAGTCCACCCTGAATTCACAGTGGCCTTAACAGATCTTTGCACAGAGGTATAGACTTCAGGTCTAAGGGTACTAATTCTTGCTTTCCAAGTTCAAGGCCCAGGGGTAGAGTTTGTGGGACAGTGAGGTTTGGGCAGTGAGAGGAGCCTTCTCATTCCTTCTTTCTAAGGCAAGGCTAAGGCAAGGTATCCTTGAGTCTCCCTGTGGCTGAGTTAGCCAAGGATCTGTGATTATAACACAACAAAAGAAAACAATCCATGGACTGGGAAGGTGGCTCAGTGGTAGAGCACTTGCCTTGCATGCATGAGGCCCTGGGTTCGATTCCTCAGCGCCACATAAGCAGAAAAAAAAAGCTGGAAGTGGCACTGTGGCTCAAGTGGTAGAGCGCTAACCTTGAGGTGAAAAGCTGAGGGACAGCACCCAGGCCCAGAGTTCAGGCCCACGACCGGACCAAAAAAAGAAAAAGAAAAACAATCCAGCATACAGATGTAGCCTGTATAGCTATCATGTATGTATGTGTGAGTGTGAGTGTGAGTGTGTGTGTGTGTGTGTGTGTGTGTGTATCTATCTATCTATCTATCTATGACTGGTCCCAGGAACACTCTCCCCAGATAGAAGCTCAGCCAGGTGCTAGTGGCTCATGCTTGAAATCCTAACTACTCAGGAAGCTGAAATCAAAGGATTATAGTTCTTATCCAGACCAGGAAAGTCTGAGCAATTCTTTATTTGTTGTTCATTGTGGGGCTTGAACTCAGGGCCAAATGATGTCCCTGAGCCTCTTTGTCCTCAAGGCTAGTGTTCTACCACTGGAGCCACACCATTACTTCGTTTTTTTGAGTGGTTAATTAGAGATAAGAGTCTTTTGGGAGGGCTGGGAAGTTGGCTCAGTGGTAGGGCGCTTGCCTTGCATGCCTGAGGCCCTGGGTTCGATTCCTCAGCACCACATAAGCAAAAAGAAAAA